CCCCCCCCCCCCCCGATTTAATTTTCCGTGCTGCAGCAGAGGAAGGGGGAGAAATTCCAAACAAACTTACAATAATTAGGAGATGATGTACCTGGGAGATGATAACAAATTTATACATTTTCCATATATAGAATCTAACTATTGGGGGTGGGGGGTTGGTCACCTTTTTTGAGTAAATATACATGTTACTATGTTGTATCTATTTTCACTTTTGAGGAAAGCATGGTATGAAATAGAGGTTTTTCAGATGTTTGGGCAGTCATTTTGTAAAGTATTTTGTTGTAAGTTGAAAGAGAAATGCGTATGAATATTATTTCAACAAATGTATTGACATATGAACTGCAATATTTGTCTTTATTGGAGGTTGCACTAGGGATAAATGCTTTTTTTTAAAGGAAGATGATTTTTTACCTTTTTTTCTATGTTTAAAAAAACCCCCCAAATCTCAGGTGGATATTTTGTTTTGTTTTCTTCCTTTCTTTTCAGGTGTGTGTGGTTTTTTGTCAGGAACTGAGATGCTGGTGTAGAGCAGTTATTAAGACAATCATGTCCTGTACGGAGCATTGCCTGGTAGAGTGCTTCCTTGTGGATTATGCCAAGTATATTCCAGTTAAAACAAGAGAGTATGTACTGTTCAAGAAGTTATTGCTGCCAACTGTCTCATAAGCTAATGTGGTTCGGATAATGATGATTTAACTAAGGACAGAGCTGTGTCTGTTTAAGCCGTGAAATCTATAGTTTGGGTCTTGCTAATTCTCTTGGGTATATAATGGAATTACTTAGAAGCCTGAATATAAATCATTTTGTTTTGGGGGCGGGGGAAGGTTTTAAAACTGGATTTTCTTTTTAAATAGGTTTCTTTGTAAAAAAATTCAAAGGGCTTAAGTGAATAAAGTCTCCATTTTAAAATAGATTTGATAATCTATGTTAATACCTACATTTACTACAATATGTTAAGTAATCCTTGGATGTTTAGTTTAAAATTAAATAATGTATGTTCATGGGAAAAAAATTAAAGCCAACTGAACTGGAGAAAGCCAGTGACTGAACATTTGAGATGCTTTTAACACCTGCTGAAGATTTCACTTTGGTTTATTCAGCTGATTCAGTTCATTAACTAATAGTCTTTTCAGTTGAGAAACATGGGATGGCTTAATTTAAACATTGGAAGAGGAAAATTAGGTAGAACAAGTAGATGATAGCAGTACAGTCTGAGTATGACAACTGTGAAATAGTTTTGTTTGTTATTGACAGAAAAGTTTTTGTTTAATGCAGTTATTAAAACATCTTGCATTTATAGCTGATCCCTTTTTACATATGCAGCAAAGTAGTTAAATGTTAAATAAGCTTGACATTTAATACTATTATTTAACTAATAAAAAAAAGTAACATGCTGGTTTTCTGCATTTTAAATGAACTCCAACTTCCATCCAAAGGTGCTTTGATTCAGATTGTGAGTAAGGACAATTAATCTAGTGAAAATGGTAAACTTACACACTTTATAACACTATGATACATACATTAAACATGTGAACTAATATGTCAAGCTGTGCCAACTCTACTTAGTTGCTTTTAATAAATGTGTTGCATTATATGTCCTCCCGGGTTAGCAATAAAAAACATAGTCCCAAACTGAGTATAGAGATAAAAACATGTTGATTTGTTGTTTAAAATGATCCTTTTAAGAAAATATCTAAAGTATAAACGGAAAGAGGAGTAAAATCAGTTACTTAAATCAACATGAAGGCCTCTAATCAATCCGACCTGTTGTTCATAGGAGTTCCAGATAGTGGTTTGCATTGTCAGATACTAATGTTTCTGTCAAGGCTATGGAACGCTGTGGGACCTATAACAGTGTTTATTAAAAGAATCTAAATCTATATGATAGTGGGCCAAGAAAGCCTTTAGACACTTGCGTCTTGAGCAGCATTTTTGCAGCCTGTTTTCTCTGGTCACAGGGGCCATAGAGCTGTATGTTTGAGGTGGGAGGGAGGGGATGCACCTGCCTTTAGATTAGTTACTTAAATAAAGGCATGCTCCCTCTATAGTTAGTGATTTTTTTTTTTCAGAGTACATCTGTTCTAAAGGCTAAAATTCTCTAACTCCTAAGTCTGTGTTGTGCTTTTGGAAAGAAGAATGAAATAAGATGCAGGGAGACGAGAGGGCCTGTCTTGCCAAATGTAGGTTGTAGGATAGTGAGGGGGGGTGGTCTTTGGCAGATGTGGCACAAATTAGCCCTGTATCCTCCATGAATGTGACTTGGATCCTTTTTTGTTTTCTGATCTACTGTTCAGCTTTTTGCTTAATGCCTGGTTTCCTGCTTGAAATGAGCTTTCTGCTCCCTGCCCCATCTGCCACTGTGCTCCCTGCCCCCTCCCCAGACTGCCAAATGCCACAGGCTGCCTGTGCCACAAGTTGGCCACCCCTCTTGTAAGAGATCAGTGGGAGTGAGACACCCCAGATGTGTGGCAAATGTGTTACTGATTGCTGTGTATAATCGTTTTAAAACTTCTGTTTTTACTATTAAGCATTCGGGTTGCAGTGGAAGCATTTATGCGACTCCCATATAGAGCAAGAAAGTTTAGATTATACTGTATAAAGCCAGTGACGTTGCACATCAACTTCTGTGAAGATACTGCAGAAATAGTGTAAGTATAGCTTGAGAGGTGGTTCTGTTCTTGAACCTCACTCTTCTGACTAATTTCCAAGCTATATTTATTCATGTGCATCTTTTTGTTTCTTGTGCATCTTTATCTTGTAGCTTAAATAATTCTTCCCTTTCTAGATATATTTATAGGGAGCAATCATATCTACTCTCAGCTTCTGCTTTGCTGAACTAATATTACATTAGACTGATGGGACTAATTTAAAACTCATGATTTATTTTATCCCAAGTTCCATTTACCTCTATGTTCTAGGTCCTTTCCCTCAAAATTTGTTCTGAAACTTGTCCAATATTGAGGTTGTGGCAGAAAGCCACCTTGGTTTCTCCCCAAAAATCTCTGCCCTGTGACACTGTGATTTAAATCTCTGTGCTGTGACCATTCAATTAGGGTGGGCCCAGCACACAGGGGACCACACCCTCAGCCTGTCTCTTTAGGGAACTGGAGCTGGCTGCATTCCTGAGGGAGGGGGAAACCTGCTCCCTCTGCTTACGTGACTTGCATCACTTACCTGG